CATGACTTTCTAGACAACCTAATAAATAGATAACGATTTTTTTTTCCAAATTACCAGAGGGTGTGTTTGCTCCAGAGAGAAAGAAAGAGGGAGAGAGAGGAAGAAAAGACCCCCAAATGGGATGCGGTCTTGCACGATCCCCTCTCCTCCGTTTTTCTAACCTGTCCAGGTCTTGGGCACTTGCATGCCTGTACCTGGCGTGTTTTTCTGAGACACTGAGGCCAGGATGCAAACTGAGCCGGCCATGTGGGATCTGGCTTCCTTAATCACTAGGCCTTAGATAACTATTAATGCCAACACAGTTTCTGCTCTTAGCAGCTAGCAGCTGTGGGTCTACTATGTGCCTGGCTTCGAGCTCAGATGTCCTGACTCACTGAAGATAAAAACACTGGATCCTTCAATGAACTCAGAGGCCAGTGGGCCTGGATCAGACGGGAAAATGGAGCAGAAACCTCCCTGTGGGAGTAACTCACAGATCGTCTACAAAGAGACCTACTGAGGTTTGAACCCGGTGTGGGAACAGCCTCACGCGGCTCCTGGCAGAGCTGACGGCTCCCTCTGCCGGGCTGTGCCTGGCCAAGGCCTCGGGTGGAGCTCTTACATAGGCGCTGGGATTACTTGGGTACAAGGTCCTACAAGTCGGTGCCTCGATTCCTCACCGCACTCCCAAGGCAGACGTACCGGACGCAGTAGTCCTCGGCGAATGCTCACTGAAGGCACCATGAGCAGCAGCCTAACGGAAAGTGATCTTTGACATTACCGTCATCTGCCTCCTCCAAAACCTGCCACAAGGCCCACCCTCCGTGGCGTAGTCACTAGTGTACTGGACTCGAGCTAGGAGTCACATGGTTCGAGTCCCCAGCCTGGTCAGCCTGAAAGCTCACCGGTGGACACGTGTGCGCCCAGGGCCTTGGCCGACAGGAGGACTGAAGGGAAGGGAGTGACAATGTGGCGGAGCCCATGGAGGGTGATTTTCTTTTTCTCTCTCAATCATGCACACACTATCGTGAATTTAAAAAAAAAAAAAAGCAATCTGCTACGAACTCTTTTGAAATAGTAGTCAAAGGTAGCAGGGAGGAGAAAATGAAAATTACTCTGAAATCCAAGGGTAAAATGTCATTCTCTAATGACAAACGGCCGAGGTAATGGGCACACTAATTACCCAATTTAATCATTACACACTAAATTACTGAACTGACAAATTCATATTATACCCCCACATGTGTGTGCAATCATTATATGTTAATAAAAAATTAACCCTAAAGAAAGAGTCTGCCTCACTATTTTATATCATTGCAACCCCCTCACGGATTTCCTGGCAGTATTTTTTAGCAGGACAGTGAAGCCCATGGAAGTGCAAATGGCAAAGAATCGGGGTAACAAATTCACATCAGATTTCAAAAGGGAAGGAATAAAAGCCCACAAGTGCTGATCTAACTTCAAACTGACGAAATAAAGACAAATTAATATAGGCTTTCTGGAAAGTCTGGAACTGAGTAAGCTGCAGCGCTTGAAAAAATAGGTAAACAGGCCCTTCTTCTGGTCATTATCTTCTGAAGTGCAGGAGACATTAAATAAACAGTCATATTATGTTCAGAATACTTCCAAGATGAAAAAGACTGTCAGCCAAGCATTTGCAGAGGTAATGGCAGGAGAAAAGGCAGCGGCGGAGCGGTAAGACACCCGGAAAAGAAAATCATTTAGCAGGCTTTCAGAACTGACAGGTTCTACAGGAGACAGCTTTCTTTCTATCTCAATTAAAAAAAAAAGAAAGAAAAAGCTTAAAAACTGTTTTTGTTTGTTTATTATGATGCTTTAAAGGCTGGAGAAGATGTGGTACTTGCTGCAAGTCTAAGTCTCCCATTTCCCCCATCAACAAGTAAAGAAACTGAGGTTCCACGGACTTTTTTGTCCCCAAAAAGGCATTTACTGCCAAGCGCGGCCCCAGAGCGGCAAAGGCCCAGCTCGAGGCCAGCAGGGCACAGGCACAGCGTCCTCGGGGCAGCCCGATGGCAAGGACAGCGCTGGCGGCGGAAGTTCTGGCCCTGTGCTGGGGCCCTTTCCTGCCGCTGCCATAGGGTCGGGCCCGGCCCCGTGGCTCCCACGGCCCGCAGGGTCCACAGGGCGGCCCTGGTGTGGGCCTTGACGGTGGCCAGCGTCGAGCTCAGGAGGAGCCATGAGCTCCGGCTCAGCTGGGCTGCAGCTCTGGGTGGACCAGGTGGGCGCGGAGCTCGCCCTCCCCAGGTACCTCTCCTGGGGGTCCCCAGTGCCCCACTCACGAAGGACTTTTCTAAAGCAAACCCTGGTACACGTGGGGCCCTGGTCTGCGACTCCTGGCCGCAGTGCCCTAGGTTACAGTGCAGCCACCACTGAACTCGACTCAACTGAACTCGACTCAAGGGGACACGCTCAAAACATTTAGAGAGAACACTGGGGGACTTTTAAAAATTTAGATGAATGTCTCGGTTTCCAGCGAGCACACGCCCCATAGCAAAAATTTCTCTTAAAAAAAAGTAAGTTAAGATAGGGACCAGCAGTTAGCATAATGGCTATGTTGCTGGCATCTCATGTGGTTCAACACAGTTTGAGTCCTGGACCCAGTGGCTTAAACTCACGCCAGGCATGTGTGCGTGCATGCCCAAGATCCTGAGAGGAGGGTGGAGGAGAAGGGATTGCGGTGTGGCCATCCCACCTGGGGGGTGATTTCTCACTTTCTGTCTCTCTGTCTCTCTGGCAAGCACACGCGCCTGGTAGCAAAAAAAAACTCTCCAAAAAAAAAAAAAAAAAATTAAGATAATAAGTGCACTAGGCTGGTCCTGTATTGATGGAAAATTCTATACGAAGAACCCAGATCATTTGTATATCAATAATAACACTTAATAAATGTGGTTAAACTTCTTGAATTGATAACTATTGTGGTTAAGGAATAAAGTGATACAGTTTTTAAGGATAAAGAGGCATAGTGGCTGGGAGTTGTCTTCAAGTGATTCAGGAAAGGACTTTTTTTTTTTCGAGAAATTTTTGCTATAGGGCACATGCGTTTGCCAGAAAGACAGAGAGAGACAGAGAGACAGAAAGTGAGAAATCACCCCCCAGGTGGGATGGCCACACCGCAATCCCTTCTCCTCCACCCTCCTCTCAGGATCTTGGGCATGCACGCACACATGCCTGGCGTGAGTTTAAGCCACCAGGTCCAGGACTTGAACCGTAGTCAACTACATGGGAGTCCAGTGACATAGCCATTATGCCAACTGCTGGGGCTGACTTTTTGTTTTTACAAAGAAAGAAATAAAACAAATACAGGAAAACATTAGCAATTGGTAAGGCAGGGTGAAAGCTATACAGGAATTTTTTATATTATTTGTGCAACTCTTTCCTAAGTTAAAATTATTTCAGAGTGAGGACCAGCAGGTGGCGTGGTGGTTAAGGCGCTGGACACTCCCACATGGCTGACCACGATTCAAGTCCTGGACCTGGTGGCTTGCTTTCTCACTTCCCTTCTGTGTGTGTGTGTGTGTGTGTGTGTGTGTGTGTGTGTGTGTGTGTGTGTCTGTTTATATTAAAATAAATAAATGAATAAATGAAATTAAATTTAAAAATTTAATTTTAAATTTAATAATGCTTTAAAAATAATTATTTCAGAGTAAAAAGCTTAAGACAGTCCAGCTCTGTGGCCTAGAGCTGAAGGGAGCCAGATTCCCGAGCACCGTGTTGGAGTCCCCACCCAGAGGCTTGGGAGCACACCCTGGCCCCGACAGGGTGAGAAACAGAAGAGAGGCCTCAGTGTGCGCTGTCCCCTCTCCTCTGCTTCTGCTTCGGTCTAGTGAATGCCACCTTATGGCAAAAATAAATGAATTAAAATGTTAAAAATTATGTGTATTTTATTGCCAGAAGGCATACACACTCACCAGGAAGAGAGAAAGCATCCCTCAGTGAGGCATGCTCACACCAAGACCTTTTTCCTTCATTTCTCCATCCTGTCAGGGTTGGGGACACACATGCCCAATGCAGTTTTCAAGTCACCAGGCTGGGATTTGAACCACAGTCACCCATGTGAGATCTGACTTTCTAAACAGTACTTAACCATTACACTATGGGGCCAGCCCAAAATTATTATTATTATTATTATTTTTAGGTTTTTACCATAGGGTGCATACGCTCACCGGAGAAAGAAGGAAAGTGAGAAATCACCCCCAGGAGGGATGGTGGCACCTCAATCTCTTCTCTTCTCCTCTTGGGATTCTGGACACTCACATACACACACCCAGTGTGATTTCCAAGCCACCGTGTCTGGGACTAGAACCATGGTGGGCCATGTGGGAGTCCAGCACCTTAACCACCATGCCACCCACTGGCCCCCAAAATTACTTTTACAACTAGATACTCTAGATATTTACCTTGGCCCACACAGCAGTCTCCATGACCTCTTCTTGGCTGGCCCGAATCTGACGGAGAAGTTAATCACCCGACACATCTAATTCTGGGCCCGCCAGGCAGCATGGGGGTGAAGGTGGCTGGATCTCACGTGGCCCACTCTGAGTTCAAGTCCTGAACCCAGCAGCTTGAAAAACTTGCTGGGCACATATGTGTGAGTGCCCCAAAATCCCAAGAGGACAGTGAAGGAGAAGGGATTGTGGGATTGTCACACCCCGAAAGGTGTTTTCTCTTTCTCTCTCTCTCCCCCCACAACAAGTGCACACAATAGCAAATTAGAAAAAAAGAAAGTAGAAAGAAGAAAGACGAAGAAAGAACATCTAATCCCCTCACTCATTTATTTGTTCATTCATTCAAATCAACAGATTTTCACTGCAACAAGAACTGTACCAGGCATAGTCTCTCGCAAAACCCACCTACGGGCCCCCCTCAGGAGGCCTGTATTCCAGAGTCGGGGGGTGGGGGGTGGGAATGGGAAATCGCACTACGAGGGTGAGTAGAGGCATGAAGGTCGAGGGGGAGTGTCCAGCTTGGGCAGAGCACAGAGGACAGACGCCTACGCCCACCTGAAGGGCCGTGGCAGGAGGTGCCATCTCAGCTGAGCCCCCGAGGACGTTAGAGGTAGGCACGCGGAGGGCCATTCCAGTGTGTGGGAGGAGGACACAGCGGAGAGATTGCGCCCGCTTTCAGAGCCAACAGCACAGCACACAGCGAATGCCCACGAGGCTGGAGACAGAGGATAAACGAGAGGGGTTTTCTGGGGGTAAGGCTAACAGCTTAAAGCCCGGGAGAAAAGGTCCTTAGGGTGTTAAAGGGCTTGAATTTGTCCTGAAGGAACACTGAAAAGCAAGCAGATGTTAGATCAGAACTGATTCTATAATATTTTAGAAAAATTGTTCAAGCTGCTGCGGCCAGTCCCATAGCTTAGTAGGTAAGGTGAGCTGATCACACATGGCCAGCCACAGATCAAGTCCCAGCCCCGTAGCTTGAAAACTCCCGCTGGGCACGGGTACCCTAAGTCCCCACAGTATGGGAGAAAGGAAGGTAAGGAATTGCACCCACTGGGAGCGTGCTTTCTCCCTCTTCTGGGAAGTGCTCAAGCCCTCTGTCAACTTAGGGGCAAAAGGCGAAGCCTCAAAACAAAATTATAAAAAGAAAAAGAAAAAGTATCTTGTAATACAGAGAAGGCAACCCTTCCATTCAAGACCAAGGTTGTGGTTGAAACTCTAGTTGAAGATGCTGGGGATACATGCAAGGCTAGATTCCAGAAGACTCTGGAAAGCCAATAAAGGATGCTGCCCGAGGGCGCTGTAGAGAAGGGAGGAGTCCGGGAACACCTCCGGGCTGTACACCCTGAGGGCTATCTCCGTGGCTGGACCTGAAACCAGAGCTATCGCCGGCCGAAGGTGGTGCACACACAGGGAAGGAATGTGCTTCTGATACCAGGACCTGCTGAAGCCATCCGTCATGAGGGGCAGGGCGCGAAGGGTCTGATTCCAAAGGGATTGAAATGATATGAAGAGAAATTTCACCCTGTAACAATGTTGCCAAGGGCCAAGTTGACAAATTAAACATTTTTGAGAATTTGTAACCTCCCCATTAAGAACTGTATAAGGAAATAGCTAAGAACTAACAAAATTTGCAGATGCTTACATTCTGTAAGCCAGCGATACCACTTCTAGAAACCCGTCTTACCACAAGGTGAACATATGAAATCTACCAGTAGGAAACTAACAAATCAACTATGTGAGCATCTAACTATTTTGAAAATAGTGTCGTAGGTTTAAAACTGCATGAGGAGCGGCCCAGGTGACGTGGTGGTTAAGGGTGCTGAACTCCCACATGGCCGACCACAGTTTGAGTTCCAGACCCTACAATTCGCTTTCTCACATTCCATCTCTCTTATTCTCTCTCACTCTGTCCCTCTCTTGTCAAATTAAAATAAATTAAATTAGTTCTTTTTTAAAAAAACGACATGAAGGACAGAAAGACTGCTAATATATACAAAATGAGAAAGCAGACACAAGGCACAGAACACCGCCTATAGCCCCATTTCTATTTTTTGTGGGGTAGGGGTTGTTTGGATTATTTTGGTTGTTTGGTTGGTTTTGTTTTTGCTGTAGGGTGCATGAGTTTGACTGAGAGAGAGCGAGAGAGAGAAATCACCCCGGGGAGGGGTTGTCCACACCACAGTCCCTTATCCTCTACTCTCCTCTTTGGATTCTCGGGGTACACACACAGGTTTGTCCGGCATGATTGTCAAGTCACTAGTTCAGGGACTTGAACCGCAAAGCTGGCCATGTATGATCCAGCCCCTTAACCTCTATGCCACCTGCCAGCCTCCTATTTCTTTTTATTAAAACATTCCATATGGAGACCAGCAGTTGATGTAATGGCTATGTCGCTGGACTCCCATGTAGTCGACCGCAGTTCGAGTCCCAGACCCGGTGGCTTACATTCACACCAGACGCGTGTGCGTGCATGCCCAAGATCCCCAGAGGAGAATGGAGGAGAAGGGACTGCGGTGTGACCATCCCCCCTGGGGGGTAATTTCTCGCATTCTGTCTCTCTGTCTGTCTCTGTCTATCTGGCGAGCGCACGTGCCCTATAGCAAAAACCTCTCCAAAAAAAAGACAACCTTCCATATGGATTCGGTAGTGGGGACTACATTGTGTATGTGCGTGAGAACCTGCAGAATAAAGAAACAGAAGATGCCCATTGAACTGGAAGCCTCCCAAGGATAAGAAGAGAGTTGGAGCCAGGTTAGTATCAGGGTGAAAGGGACTTCTATTCGATTCCAGTTTGTTTGAATTTCTTTTACGATATGCAAGTCTTCTATGGAGAGAGAAGTGAGCTGTGAGGTGAAAGAGCTCCTTCCACGTGCATTCATGCGGGCCGCACTGTGTACAGAGCACAGACGACAGGAGGTCCGGACGGCAGCGACTGTACCGGGGCTGCCCCCTCACAGTCTACGGTCCGGCAAGAGAAACCACTAGGCCGGCGTTCAGAACAAGAAATGAAAACACCTCGCCAGGAGCAGGCAGGGAGTCTCGAAGGGACACGTAGGGGGCCTAGGATAATGCCGGCGCCGTGCCCCAGGCTTTGGGTTTTATCTTCGCCTCAAGCACCATCGGCAGGCTTTAAGCAAGGCGATGAAACGCACAGGTTTATCGCCTCTTAGATTTCTCTGCCCGAAGCTGTTCTCTGTGCTCAGACACATGGATGGATCAGCTAGAGAGAGACAAGTAGAAAAGAAGATCGAGAAACCCCTGGCTTGGAAAAGAGAATGACTATTGAAAAGCAAGCCTGGCTCTAGCAGACCAGATTTGCTAATCCAGTGAAGAGATGACGAGGTGGAAAGCGGACAGCTGACAGTTTGGCAGGAAGGGAAACAGATCATGGATACATACAAACAGCCATACTAAGTGTTCAGGGAGGGCAAGGAGAGAGCCATGTGTGAAGTCCAAACACCGCATGGGAGAAGGAGGGATTAGCCCCACCGGGAAGGACTCAAAAGGCTCCTGGAGGAAGTAGTATTTGAAATGGGTGGTGGGCCAGTTAGTGTTATGGTGGTTAAGACACCGGGGTCCCATGTGGCAAGGTTCAAGTCCCCTACCCAGCAGCTTGAAAAACATGCTGGGTGTGTGTGCATGTGTGCCCAAAATCCTGAGAAAAGAATGGAGAAGAGATTGTGGCCTGACTCTCCTCTCTGGGGGGTGATTTCTGTCTCTCTCTCTCTCGTGAGCACATGTACCCTATAACAAATTTTAAAGGGGGGAGGGGCAGCAGGTGGCATGGTGGTTTAAGGCACTGGATTCCCACATGGCCAGCCAAGGTTCAAGTCCCAGACCTGGCACATGTGTGTGCATGCCTTAAATCATGAGAGGAGAATGGAAGAGAAGGGATTGCAGCATGGCCATCCCCACTGGGAGTGATTTCTCACTTTCCCTCCCTTTGTCTCTCTCCAGCAAATGCATGTGCCCTATGGGGAGGGGGGGGGAATAGGTGGTCACAGGCATAAATATTCAAGAGGCAAAACACACACACACAGTAGAGTATTTTGTTGGGCAGACAGTACGGCCACCAGCATAAAGACGGAAATGCCCTACTGAAAAATACCGTGTTTAGGAGTTTGTCTATCGCAGTAAAGACAGGAAACTGAGTTAGAGGCCAGCTAGCTCCCTGACTGTGGCAACAGCAAGCTCCATCTTTCATGCACTGGAAACTGTGTGTGTGTTTTCTTACCTATTGTCCAAATCCCCCCAGAACAAAACTCCCACAAGGGAAGGACTCGTCAGACTTGTCTACCACTGTCCCTGAAGGCCTAGTCCAGTGCTTGACATGCAGTGAGTATTCAGCAACATTCGCTGATGAATAAGTGAATGAGTGAATGAATTAATATTTCACAGCTGAAGTTCAGTAGCCATCTCAGGAGTTGGATGGTACAAAATAGATATTTAATAAATAGGACTATTGGGTCATTGGGAAAGTCATGGTGCATTTTCTCATAGAAAAACATAGAAAAAGAGACCAGTAGATGTCGTAATGGACTCCCACACAGTCGACCACAGTTCAAGTCCTGGACCCGGCAGCTTGAGACACGTCAGGTGCATGTATGTGCATGCCCAAGATCCCAAGAGGAGAATGGAGGAGAAGGGATTGCGGTACGGCCATCCCCCTGGAGGATTTCCGTCTCTCTATCTCTCTCCGTTTCTCCAGCAAGCATACACGCCCTATAGCAAAAAATCTTTCTCTCAAAAACAAAAATAGAAAAATATGCCATGACTTCCCGAAGGACCGGATATTACTAACAGCAGTCACTATCATTATCAGGTACTGGAGAAACTTGAATGATGTTGTAGGATGGCTTCTGCGATGATATCCAGGTTCTTAGCACTTTGGACAAAGAATTGGACAAAACACACCAATAGCAAAAGGAAGAGGTAGTTTACTGTTTTTTTCTTTATGCATTTTATTGAATGCTTAAGTAAAAAAAATACCTAATTATCAGTGTATATTTTTAAATAATTTATTCCTTTCAACTTTAGGAATTGTGTAGAATGTTTGACTCAAAAGTAACAACATAATATTGAAAACTAGTTAACGTGAATAGTATCAAAAAATTCTCCTTGTTTGGGACCAGCAGTTAGCGTAATGGCTATGTCGCTGGACTCCCATGTAGTTGACCGCAGTTCGAGTCCCGGACCAGGTGGCTTAAACTCACACTGGGCGCGTGTGTGTGAGTGCCCAAGATCCCAAGAGGAGAATGGAGGAGAAGGGATTGCAGCGTGGCCATCCCCCTGGGGGGTGATTTCTCGCTTTCTGTCTCTCTGTCTCTCTCTGTCTGGCGAGCACATGCGCCCTATAGCAAAAACCTCTCCAAAAAAAAAAAAAGTTCGAGAATCCCTCCCTTTCCCCCACCTCTGTATATCCTCCTAGTTCGGGGCAAAGCCTTGGGTGAGGACGAGAGGTAATGGACGTGACGCTGGTAAATGTAATGACCGTCTCCAGCGCTTGGCCCGCCGGGGACCATGCTAAACAAACGACTGGTTCACAACCACAAGGTACACACTCTTATCCCCTTGTCTGGGAAGGAACTTACCTAAGGCAGAGCTCCTGCTGAGGAGTGAACCGGCCCTCCCCGCCAAGTTACCACCAGTCTGCCGTCTTCCTTGCGCGCACTGGCACGCTCCGTGCCTTTCTAAACTTGGAGCTGTATTTTGAAGTCAGGTCTTGCTTGGGAGAGGAGGGTCCTAGCTCGCAGCGCCATCTCTCTGGGAGACAGGGTGCATTTAAGGTGACGAGGCTAATTAAAACTGGGAAGTTACATGGAACCACATCTCAGGAAGTTGTTTGCTACTCGTTAAAAAAATATAGCCTCAAAAAGGGGCGACGCAGGAAAGGGGTAAAACGAGCTAAGTACTAGGCTCCCAGCCCGGGAGGGGCAGCCAGGTCGGGCGGTGCAGCGGCTGCCAAGTCTGAACCAAGACGCCTGCTTTCAGCGTACAGTCCAGGGAGGGCAGGGGGCACGTAGACCGTCACACAAGAAAGGGCCGAACTTGAAAACCCGACAGAACGGTGCCAAACTGACACTGGGTAGGAGTGAAGCGGAAGGGCTTGGCGGGGGGGTGATTCCTCCCCCAGGCCACAGGCTCCCCCCCCTTCCCAGTAAACGCTAATTGGAGATGATGAGGGCCTTCATTGCCTCGTCACCAACAGTCTGCGTTCTCCTTCATTAGCTTTTTGGAGGAACTGACAGCTCTGGCTCAAGGGATCCCCAAAGAAGAACCTACTGTTTGCATTAAATTAACCCCATTACTAGGTGCTAGGCGGAGGTCACCTGTCCTAGCTTCCCTCAGATTCCAACTGCTGTAACTGTCATCCACAAAAGGCTCAAGAAAGCTGAAACTTCCATGGCACACCTGGGTGTAAATCTACACTGGAGGGGACAGCAGATGGCATAACAGTTATGTCGCTGCACTCCTGCCTTAGTCGACCGCAGTTTGAATCCTGGGCCCGGAGGCTTAAAACTCAGGTCAGGCACATGTGCGTGTGTGCCCAAGATCCCGAGAGGAGAATGGAGGAGAAGGGATTGTGGTGTGGCCATCCCCCCACTCCCTCCCCAAGGTGACTTCTCGCTTTCTGTCTCTCCCTGTCTTTCCAGAGAGAGCACACACTGTATAGCGAAAATCTCTCTAATAAAATCCTCTCTCTAAAAACATAAAATAAAACCTACACAAGCCAAAGGTGACATGACAAGGTGGCCAAGGCTCTGGACTCCCACATGGCTGACTATGGTTCAAGTCCAGGACCTGGTGACTTGCTTTCTCACTTTCTCTCTCTCTCTATCGCTTTCTGCTGAGCACACATGTCCTAGAGCAAAAACTTAAAATAATAATGATAAATAAATAATTAAATTATTTTTAAAATTTTTGTAAAGATGCAAAATATGTATAGACCAATTCTGCAGCACAGTAGCAACACGTTGCTCAGAAACATCCAGGTCGGGGCCGGCAGCGGGCGTGGTGATTAAAGGCGCTGGACTCTTGCATGGCTGACCATGGTTTGAGTCCTGGACCTGACGGCTCATGTGCTCACTTTCTCTCTCTCTCGTCTCTCTCCTGTCTCTCCTCTCTCCCTCTCTCTCTCTGTGTCTTGCTATGGTCAAATTAAAAAAAAATAACAATAATAATAAATAAAATAAAGGAAATAATTCTTTTTTAAAAAGGAAAAGAAAAAGCCAGGTCCAACATGGCAAGGGTGGTTCAAACCCTTAGTCCAGTCAGCCTGAGACATGCTGGTGACACTGTGTGCAAGTGCCCAAGGTCTGGAGGACGGGGGTAGAGGGTGAGAAGGGAGCCGCGGCCTGACCAGACGCTGTGGAAAGTGCCTCTCTCGCATTCTCTCTTGCAGGCACATATGCTCTATCCTGCATTAAAAAAAATAAATTAAAAAAAAAAAAAGATATATATATATATATACACACACACACACACACACACACACACATATATATATATATATATACACACACACACACACACATATATATATATATACACACACACACACATAACTTTTTTTGGAGAGGTTTTTACTATAGGGCACATATGCTCGCCAGAAAGAGAGAGGGAGAGAGAGACAGAGAGACAGAAAATGAGAAATCGTCCCCCAAGGAGAGATGGCCACGCCACAATCCCTTCTCCTCCATTCTCCTCTCGGGATCTTGGGCACGCACGCACACGCGCCCAGCGTGAGTTTAAGCCACTGGGTCTGGGACTTGAACCGCAGTCGACTACATGGGAGTCTAGCGACATAGCCAACTGCTGGTCCCCACATATAACTTCTTGAAGAAAAATAAGTACTTAACAGTTTTGTTTTGTTTTGCCTGATTACAAAAGTCACACAATAAAAAATGCAAACAGAGTACTAAAGAGAATAAGCCCTCCATAAACCGGCCCTCCAAGGATAATCGGCGTGAGGAATGGGGATATGTATCCTTGTAACTTCTGGCCGGTTCTGAGACTGCTGCCTAAGGGATAGGTAGATGGTGCTGTCCGCAGGGGAACAAACGGTACCGCAGCTCTGCATCTTGTCCTCGCTGAGCTACACAGCTTTCACTCTTTCTTTCTTCTTTCTTCTTTCTCTCTTTCCTTTCTTTTTTCGTTTTGCTATAGGGTGTGTGTGCTCACTAGAGAGGAAGAGAGAGAAGGATAGTAAGCAGCCCCCGCCCCTCCGTCAGGGGATGGTCACACTGCAATCCCATCTCCATTCTCCTCTCGGGATTTTGGGCACGCAGGCACATGCACCTGGTCTGTTTTTCAAATCCAACACCAGGTCTGCATTTGAACTGCACAGTTGGCCATGAGGGATCCAGCTGTCTCAACCAACGCACCACCAACTGGCTCATTTTTACTACCATATAGTACCTTAATATATACGGACCTTATTTTGGGGGGGAGGGGGGAAAGGTTTTTGCTATAGGGCACTTGTGCTCGCCAGAAAGACAGAGAGAAACAGAGAGACAGAAAGCTAGAAATCATCCCCCAGGGGAATGGCCATGCCACAATCTCTTCTCCTACATTCTCCTCTCAGGATTTTGGGCACACACACACACACACACACTTGCCTGGTGTGAGTTTAAGCCACCGGGTCCGGGACTCGAACTGAGGATGACTACATGGGAGTTCAGCGACATAGCCATTACGCCAACTGCTGGTCCCAGGATTCTATTTCTTTTAATAGCCAAAGGGTACGTATACTCTCCAGAGAGCACCCTCTGATGGGCAGCATCATGCCCCGTTCTTTTTCCTCTGTGTCGTCATCCTGTCAGTACCAGGCACGTGGGTGCACATGCCGGCGTGCTTCTCAAGGTGCTGGGCCACGATTCCGACTGTCTCTCCGCGCTGGGCCTACTGACCCTATTTTTAGATCAAATCCCACTTAATTAGACCACTGTGGTCCCTCAGTTGTGTACTTACTTATGGATCTGCTTATTTATGTATTGCTATTACAAAAACAAACTCTTTGATACCCTTGTGTCTGTTTGTACACGTGTGCTAGTAATTCAATAGGATAATTTCCCCAAAGCTCCGCTCACAGAATGTCCATGTTTTTATTTGAGCTGAAAAGTGCCAAGTTTCCCTCTAAAAGCTGTACCGTGCCAGCCTACCCTGAGTGGATGAAATGCCTGCTTCTCCGCCAGCCCTAAACCAGAGCACTGAGTCACGTTAACTACACCGATCAACTCGCTCTACGGTGGTCAGGGCATATCATGGGCATTTCAGAAACGTTCTCTTTACCACAGCCCCAGAAGGTCGAAAATCTAGTAAGAAAGACCACGTATTTTCACAGGACAAGAAAGCATCATTTTCTACCATGTTTACTCCCTATACGAAATGATGACGAAAGTGAAATAGCATATTAATAAGTGCGATCTTGCCGCTGGATCATTCACAATGCGTTCAGGCTGTGAGGTCACTGGTCAAAATCCAGGCATCAGAGTCCGACTAAGCCAGAAGAGACTGATGCGGGCAGAAGACTGAAGATGTAAAGGCCCAGGCAGGTGGAGGAATGGTTTCCTACGAGAAATGAACGTGTCCTATGTTGGAAATACTAATTTGGAAATTCCCTCATGCTCAGCTGAAGAATTGACAGGGCCTGGGAACCAGCAGTTAGTGTAATGGCTATGTCACTGAACTCCCTTGTAGTCGACTGCGGTTCGCATCCCGGACCCGGTGGCTTAAAATTCACGCTGGGCGCGTGTGCGTGCGTGCCCAAGATCCCGAGAGGAGAATGGAGGAGAAGGGATTGCGGTGTGACCATCCCCCCTGGGGGGTGATTCCTCGCTTTCTGTCTCTCTGTCTGTCTGGCGAGCGCATGCGCCCTATAGCAAAAACCTCTCAAAAAAAAAAAAAAAACATGCCCAAGGTCCCAGAAGGAGAATAGAGTAGAAGGGATTACAGTGTGGCCATCCCCTGAGGCATGATTTCTCTCGCACTCTCTATTGAGCACACATGCCTTAAGGCAAAAACCCCTTAAAAAAAGAAAGGAAAACATGTAACTGTCATGAGAATTGGTGGAACAATACAGTAAACTGTAAGATGCTATTAAAATATCCTTGTTATTGGGGCTGGCATAGTGATTGGGGTGCTGGATTCCCACGTGGCCGACCACTGTCCGAGTCCCAAACCTGGCAGCTTGCTTTCTCATTCTCTCCCTCATCTCTAACTGGTGAGCACATGTGCCCTACAGCACACTTTAAAATAATAATAACAAATACAATTAAATATTTTTTTTAAAAAAAAAAAGAACTGAGAAGAAAAAAATTATTACTGAGTTAACAGATGGTGTAGTGGTTACGACACTGGACCTCACATGGCTAACTCTGTGGTTCGAGTACCAGACCTGACGGCTTGAAAATCACACCAAGCATGTACACATGTGTGCCCAAAATCCCAAGAGACGAATGGAGGAGAAGGGATTGTAGCCTGGCCGTCCCGCCTGGGGGGCGATTTCTCATTCTCTCTCTCTCCCTGGCAAGCTCGCATGTCCTGTAGCAAAAATCTAAAAGATAAAATTGTTATTATTATCAAACAGATATAGTTAGTGGAAGAATAATTTTGTTGTTGTTGTTGTTTTGTTTGTTTTTAAGCTTTTTCCATAGGGCTCCCGTGTTCCCTGGAAATGAGAGGAGAAAGAAATCAGCCCCTTGGGGGATGGCCATGCTGCAGTCTTTTCTTCTCCACGCTCCTCTTGGGTTCTCGAGCACCCACATACATGTGCCCAACAGGCTTTTTAAGCTGCCAGGTCCAGGACTCAAACCAGGAAGTCAGCCATGTGGGATCCAGCCACCTTAACCTGCAACCACCTGCTGGCCTGAGAAGGGTAAGTTTTTCATTGTGATCATATTTTCACACATCTGAAAAAAATATCTCCTGCCATTAAAAAGATCAGTGGTGGGACCAGCAGTTAGCATAATGGCTATGTCGCTGAACTCCCATGTAGTCGACTGAGGTTCGAGTCCCAGACCCGGTGGCTAAAACTCACTGGGTACGTGTGCATGTGTACCCAAGATCCCAAGAGGAGAGTGGAGGAGAAGGGATTGTGGTGTGGCCATCCCCCCTGGGGGCACGTGCCCTATAGCAAGAAAAAAAAAATTAGTGGTTGCCAAGGGTTAGTGGCAGCGGGAAGGAGGGGAGAAGCACAGAAGATTTCTAGGGCAGTGGTAAGACCCCATGCTGCTGTAACGCTGGATATAGGTCATCACACATTGTCCATGCCCACACCTGCCCACCACCAGGGCTCAGCCTGATGCAGGCCGTGGGCTTCGGGATAATGAAGCGTCCATGTGGAAGCAGCAGGTACTCACGAGTGTGGGTAGGGGCACGTGGGCAGTTCTGAACCTCGCTCCCAGGTTTGTCATGAACCAAAACTACTCTAAAAAGTAATATGTTTTAAAAATGTCTCCTTTGGTGCCAGTAGGTGGCTTGTGATTGAGGTGTTAGACTCCCACATGGCCAACCCTGGTTCAAGTCCAGGACCTGGTCACTTGCTTTCTCATTTTCTATCTCTTGCTCTCTCTCTCTCTCTCTCTCTCTCTTTCTGTTGAGCACAGATGCCTGCTAGCAAAAATAATAAATAAAATTAAAGAAATAATTATTTTTTAAAATGTCTCCTTTGAACTTTTTTTTTTGAGAAGTTTTTGCTACAGGGCACGTGCGCTCGCCAGACAGAGAGACAGAGAGACAGAAAGCGAGAAATCACCCCCAGGGGGAATGGCCACGCCGCAATCCCTTCTCCTCTGTACTCCTCTTGGGATCTTGGGCACGCATGCACATGCGCCCGGTGTGAGTTTTAAGCCACCGGGTCCGGGACGCAAACTGTAGTCAACTACGTGGGAGTCCAGCGACATAGCCATTACACTAACTGCTGGTCCCTCCTTTGAACATTTTTTAAGAGAGATTTTGCTATAGGACACATGTCAGAGAGATAGAGAGAGAGAGAGAGACAGAGAGACAGAAAATGATAAATCACCTCCCCAGGGGGATGGCCACGCCACAATCCCTTCTCCTCCATTCTCTTCTCAGAATCTTGGGCACACACGCACATGCACCCAGAATAAGTTTTAAATCATCGGGTCTAGGACTCGAACCATGGTTGACTACGTGTGAGTCCAGTGATGTAACCATTACGCCATCTGCTGATCCCTTGAACAGAGTTTAAGTGTTCTGACCACAAATAAAAAATAAGTATGTGGAATAATGCCTGTGCTAAGTAGCTTAATTTAGCCATTCTATAATGTATACGTATTGTAAAACATCATGTTGCACACCATAAAGATAAACAACTTCTATTTGCCAACTAAAAAGAAATAGGGCCCGCTGTGTAGTGCAGTGGGTAGACCCTGTGCATGGAGCCAGATCTCACGTGGCTGGCCAGTTCTAATCTGGTCGGACCAGCTCAAGAAATACAGCAGGCACTCCTGCATGCATGGCTCAAGTCTTGAAGAATGGAGAAAGGGGGGGAGGAGGATGGTAGGTTGACTTCACTCCACTGGGGAGTGCTTTCTCGCTCTCTCTCTCTTTCTTCTCTCTTTCTCTCCCTGGCGAGTACATGCATCCTCTGGCAATAAGAAAGGCATGAAGGAATGAGTGAATACATTGCTTTAAGTATCTCCTGCCTGAGGAAACTCAATGAATAAGTATCTTTAAAAATATCTCCTGCCAGGCCAGCAGGTGGCAAGGAGGTGAAGACAGTTGGGCACCCCCTGGACCACTGCACAGTTTGAGTCTCGGATCCCTGAGTTTGAAAACATGCTGGGTGCATGTGCATTCATGCCCAAACGCCCAAGAGAAGAATGGAGGAGAAGAGACTGCTGTGTGACCACTCGCCCTGGGGTGGTGGGGCTGTGAGTTCTCATTTTCCCTCTCTGTCTCTGTTTCTATCTAGGTCTCGGGTGAGTACACACACCCTATAACAAACTAGGAAAAGTGTTCTCCCCAGGAAACCCACCCCAGTCGTCAGTTTAGCCACCGATCAATCACCCTGGGGTACGCAGCCTCGTCTCTCGCCCTTGACCACGGGCGACCCCGCCATGCTCTTTGCATCGCTGTCTGCAGGGAGCCCTCGGGCCCATCTCCTTTGAGCTGCTTGCAAACCAAGTTCTAAGGACAGCAGAAAACGTCCATGCTCTGAGCACTGGAGAGAAAGGATGTGCTCGTAAGGGCTCCAGCTTTCACAGAATTATTCCAGGGTTTACGTGCCAGGGTGGCGATTTGACACGCCATGACGGCTCTGGCAGCAAGTCCATCGATGAAGAGAAGTTCGATGACGAGAACGTCATCCCAAAACACACAGTTCCTGGCAGCTTGTCCACGTCAAGTGCTGCACCCAACGCAAACGCTTCTGTTTTCCATCTGCACTGCCAAGACCGAGTGGCTGCATTAAGCACGTGCTCTTGGCAAGGTGGAAGAGGGCAGGAGTTTCGTGGAAGCCACGGATATCGTGGGCCCCAGAACGGCAAGAGCAGCAAGATCGCCATTGCTGACTGTGGCCGGCTCTAATGAACGAGACTCGTGTTCTGTCAACCACAGCCCTCTCCTCCTGCAGCTCAGGGAGCACCCCCGCCCGGCTGCTCGCCATGTCCTGCAATCTAGGCTCTCGCTGCGGTTCCTCATTCCCCTCCAAATCTAGCTGAGTTGCAACATCAAGTTCGTGAAATAAAAACTAAATAACAAAAAAGGCTAAAAACGTTTTTAGATGTTTTGAATTCCCTGGTTTCAGATGCAGCCCGTGTCTCTCCACTGTTAACATTATTAATGCCTTCTCTGGGTATCCCACAGTAAAGCATTCAAAGGTTCACCTCCTCCGGTTTTATTTTTTATCTGATTTCATGCTCATCCAATGGGGTATCACCTCTTAGGGACAGCAGCCCTGGGCCACAAGCCGTTGAGTGTACGGGTACAGAGTTTACTCCCGGCTACGTCCTCCTCTCCTGGGACAGTCAGCACAGAGTGGGTGTTTATAAGGATAAATATGAATATTCATTTTGGTCACTTTTATTTTATAAAAATGCTGTATTTTTTACTTCAGCAAGACTTAATTCTTGTTCATCCTCGCCAAAACACAAGCTCCAAGGGGGCAGAAATGTCAGCCTGGTTTGTTCACTGCTGTATCTCAAACACCCACAACACTGCCTGGCTCATGTTAGGAGCTTATTGTTTTGTTTTGGTTTTTGGTGTTTTTTGTTTGTTTGTTTGTTTTTACCAAGTATTAGATCATCAGGAAAGTCATGATGTATTTTTCTATATTTTCTTCTTTTCAAATTTTTTTTAATTTTTAAAAATTATTTATTTAATTTTGTTTATTTATTCGTTCATTTTCATTTGATCAGAGAAAGACACACAGAGAGGAGGAACGTGAGAAAACAAGCCATCGGGTCCGGGACTCAAACCGTGGTCGACCATGTGGGAATGTCCAGCACCTTAACCACCATGCCACCTGCTAGCCCCAGTATTTTTCTATATTTTTCTAGTTGAAAATGTGTCATGACTTTCCTGACAACCCAACATATTTTTATTTTTATCATTTTTGCTAACTTAGTGCCCAACTAGAAATGTGTACCTTGTGTGTGATGGACAATATAAAGGAAAAGGGGGAGGTTAAATGTCAAAGATAACAGAATCAAATGACCTTACCTGCAGCAGAATAACACATGTGCGTGCCCAAGATCCCGAGAGGAGAGTGGAGAAGGGATTGCGGCGCGGACGTCCCCTGGGGGGTGATTTCTCGTTTCTGTCTCTCTGTCTCTCTCTGTCTCTCTGGCAAGGGCCTATAGTAAAAAATCTCTCCCTCAAAAAATAAATAAAACAAGATAAAAAATGAATTTAAAATGACTATGTTATCATTTCATTTTTAAGTACACATATTTGCATATGTATTTCTTTGATTGCAAAACAGGTTTTTTAATACATATGAAAAAATAGGATCGTTGGAAAAGTCATGATGCATTTTTGCGTAGAAAAACATGTCATGCCTTTTCCAGCAACTATACCTTATTACAAGATAAGGGAGAAAAGCAGCTTTGTACTAGAATTAGAAGTAAATAGGAGTATGGTGTTAAGGTGCTGGACTCCCACATGGCTGACCAAGGTTCCAGTTCTGGACCTGGTGGCTTGAAAATCACACCTGCCACGTGTGTATGCGTGCATGCCCCAAATCCCAGAAGAACAGAGGAAAAGGGACCGCAGCATGGCCATACTCCTGGGGCGGGCAATTTCTCACTTTCCCTCTCTCTGTCTCTCTCTCTGCAAGTACATACGCTCTATTGGAAAAGAGCCTAAATAAAAAGTAAGTTAAATAAAACACATGCATGTAAAAAGACTGGGAAAGCAGACCGTGTCTGTATAAATTAGCTAATAGCCAATTTTTAAATAATAACTCATTTTTATATTCTTTTCTTATCCATAGTTCCTATATAGCATATGTATTGGTTTTTATAGAAAGGCAAAAGAGAAAAAGTTTTAAAAACATGGAAGGAACTATATTAAAGTTCTCACACTGGGGTGGCGAGCGTATGAGTTTAGTTTTTCAAGTTATTCTTCTCCATTTTTAAATGTTCTTGAATATTTGTAGTACTTATTCCATATAAAGCAAATTTAATATCAGAAACTTACAAAAATCTAATTTGCCCTGCAGTCTGAGCTATACTTCACAAAGTCAAATATTTGTCAGTAACTTGAAGCACACACCAAGTGTCAAATTTTGAAAAAGGAAACTTTGACAGGTGACCAATAAAACCATAGTTCTATCTCCCAATCTTGGGGACTTTCGGCCATGGCACTCCTGGTAAGACAGGGCATGGGGTGGGGCCCGTGGGGGCCTCGGTAGAGTCCTTAACTCATCTAGAACTTCCATGGCGGATGATGGATGGATGATACACAATTAATTTCACTTGACAAGCATAAAGGAAAAATTTCCCCGAGCCACTGTAACCCGAGCTAATGAAACCCTATTTAACTAAGGGTGTGTATTTAGACTGGGTCTTACCTTAGTGACTTAGCCATTAGTAGGAATTCGCTGTTTACCTTTGGGATTCTTATCAGTACTTAGACTTTGTTTGCATGTGATTTTCACCTGATTTCTCAACATGCTCAGTTCATGCTCAGTTATACGATCTGGAAATAAGTGGGAACACTACAAGAGCACAAAAAGCTGACCCAACTATCTAATCTCCTTAAAACGACGACTTGCTCTTCTTCGGGATGCATCGCGCTTGCTCTGTAAAGATCTCATGGACAAGTGATACTTCCGATCTCGTAAAATACCAGGTTCTCCCATTTCTTTCATGGCTTTTGGGAATCCAAGCCATGTTTTCACGCTAAATATCCCACTCTGATTACCCCCTCAGTCCCTCTGAGGCAGCTGCTCATGACGGCTAGAGACAGTTCCAGAAAATGGGTTAATCCCTAAAGGCTCATTAGGATCCTTGCGAGCAGGGTGCGGGCACGGCTGGGTAGCCTTGCTCAGGGAGTCAGGAGCCCTGGACTAGCTGGACTTTGCTCTGTCCCTGCGTCCTTGGACAGGTCACCTGACGTTCAGGGGCCTCCATCTCATTGTACAAGGACAGAGTTGGAGTATGTGACCTGTGGCATGTTTCAGTTTGGGTATTTTTTTTAAAGAATTATTTTATTTTATTTTATTCATTGCCATTATTATTTTACTAATTAATTAATTAATTAATTTTGAAGTTGACCAGAGAAGACAGAGAGAGAGAAGGAAGGTGAGAAAGCAAACAGCCAGGGACCAGCAGTTAGCGTAATGGCTATGTTGCTGGACTCCCATGTAGTTAACTGTGGTTTGAGTCCCAGACCCGGTGGCTTAAAACTCACGCCCGGCGCGTGTGCGTGCGTGCCCAAGATCCTGGGAGGAGAACAGAGGAGAAGGGATTGCGGCATGGCCATCCCCTCTGGGGGAAGGGGGTGATTTCTCGCTTTCTGTCTCTCTCTGTCTCTCTGGTGAGCGCACATGCACAATGGCAAAAACCTCTCCAAAAAAAGAAAAAAAAAGGAAAAAGGAAAGCAAACAGCCAGATCCAGGACTCGAACTGCAGTCAGCCTTAACCACCATGCCACCTGCCAGCCCCGAATCTGTTTCAGTTCTAAATTTTCTGACTCAGAAGAAATCCCTACAGAGGTGTGGTGGAAAGGCTCGGCTGGCTTGGAGGGCCCTTTCTCTGCAGTGAGAGAACGCGACCTGAGGCAGGGTTGAACCCTGGGGGAAACGTGAGCTACCCTCGCGAGGCCCGCTCAGAAAACCGAGAAGTGGGAGTGTAAGTCCCGCACTCTTAGGCTCTCCTTGAAATCCAAGGCCCGGGTGCATCAGGTGAGCTGGCATTTGTCTCCCTCTGGGTGACCGGAGCTGTTTATTTCCATGGCAGAGAAACAAGCTCCTAGCTACGCCATGCGGAAGTGTTCCTGAATAATTAGGGGCAGTGACAGCTGAACATCCAAGAGGTTGGTTCTGTGAGCCCAGGGACTTGGCAGCCAGGGAACCCTCCGAAGAGAGCCCGGGGCTCGGGCTGCTATGATGTCACATGGCGTCCGGGGCACCCGGAGCGGGCGGCAGGCCTCAGCACGGCCTTTGCTCATCCGCACCCAAATGTCCCTGTCCTCTGCCAGGTGTGCTCAGGGGGTGGCACAGACCAGTGTGGAGGAGGCAGAGCGCTCAGGATGCAGCCTCCTCTGCCCGCGCCCCGGAGCCACACCTGCCGCTCTGACCGCCCTGCTGCAGAGGGGGCTGCAGAGGGATTTCAGGGCTGCGAAGGCCTCAGCTCTCCACATTCCACCTTGATGGGCAGCCCACACCCCCAGCCTTCCTGGGGAAGCTCAGCTCCCCACCCTGCACTCTGCCCCCGGACAGAGGCGAGCCTAGAGGCAGGCCCTGCTTCTCCGCTCCTCCCTGCGCCTGGGCCGTGAACTGGCTGGGCGGTGAACTGCCCTCTGGCACTTATCAACCCCAGACTCCACAGCATCCGATCTCCCAGTAAATTAAATCTGGATTTCTTAGCCCAACTTTCAACGTTCTTTGTTACCAGTCTTGCCTCTTAAATTCTCCCTTTCATATCTCAGTCCCTCCAGCTCAAATGAAAACCCCTCCCGAAACGGCTCAGACTCACCTACCAACACACTCTGCCCACTGCACACACTCTCTCTCTCTCCTCGCTCTCCGTCTCTCTCGCTCTCTCGCTCGCTCCACCTCTGCAGAGCTCACTCCTCACACAGTCCAGTTTCTACCATTTCCCCCTGGAAAGCCCAAGTATCTCTCAGCCCCCAGTCTGAACTCTTGGGACTTCCTGGCTTAAGACTTTCAGCAGTCTTAATAACTTCCCGTCATTTTTCCATAGATTTCGTCCTTACCAGATTGTACGCTTTTCAAGAGACAAAGAGTTAGCAGCAGTTACCCGTGTTTTGTCCTGCGTGTCTGTGACAACATATGCTGCATAGTGGGTTTTCCAGGAGTGCCCAATAAACGCAGAAAGCAAACTAGACAGTGCAGACTAATC